CGCCCCCCTCTTCCTCCAGCCCAAGGACCACCTTAGAGGCAGCAGGGGGCCCGCTCTAACCACGGCAGAACCCCACCACCTCCGCTGCAGCACCCTCGGTGGCTCCCGCTGCCCGGCTTCTACCTGGAGTCGAGAGCCCTAGGCCTTGAAGACGCCTCGGCTTCGCGGTAAACCAGTCCCACCGGGTCCTTTACCGGGCCCTTCCCTTTGCACAGGCTGGTTCCTCCAGCAGGAGCACCTTCCCTGCTCGCCTGCCATTCCTCCCTCCACCCCCATTAAACCCCCCCCTCCTAGGTGTCTGCTGTCCTAGGTACACGCTCCTCTCATTGTGACCACCCCTCTCCCCCCCAGAACAGGTATGAGAAGCCGAGTCCCGCCAACCAGGGCGCCTCGGGCCGACTGCGACCGAACACCGAACACCGGGAGCAGCTGGGGACTCGGCCTGGCCTCACCGGCCCTGGAGGCAGCGGTCTGCAGCCCTGGCCAGGAGCAAGGGGAACAGCAGGGGACAGGCAGGAAAGCAGCCCAGGGCCCGTGTGCCGGGCAAGTGAAGCTGCGGCTGCTCCCGAGGGCTTTGGGGATCTAGGCAGATGGCCTGCTGCCATACTCATCCTCACGGGCGCAGGGAGGGCCACGGGCAGGAGCGATGCTGCCGTTTCCGGGGACAGTGAAGTAGGACCCTTCCAGGGCGCCTTTGCCCCTGCCCACCCACATGGACACGCTCCCCACACGGCTTGCTTTCCGTGCAGATATTCTGGCCCAGCTCTCAGACTGGTGAGCGTGACTCATGCTGGTCTGAAGACATATACAGTGGACGCTGTTCTCTGATAAACACTTCCTGTCTTCCACTCCCCAACAGTGAGCGGTCACGTTGTGGCAGAACGAGGAGAGGGCATGGGCGGCAGGGAGGGGCTCCTGCACTGGGCCCTGAGCTCTGCCCTGAGGTCTCAGGAGAGTGGCCGAGGCTGGGCCTTCCCTGCTCAGCGTCCTGGGGCTCCCGGCTGTGCCAGGACTGACCCTCCCCACCTGACCGTCCCCATCGTATTCAGCCCTGCCCCTGCCCAGCGACAGCAGCCCATGGCGCAGAGCCCCAGCCAGGGCTTCCAGGTGGGTAGGTGGTCCTTGGGGGCCCACTCAGGAGTGAGGGCAGGCACAGGGGACTCAGACTGAGTGTGGGGGAAGGGCTGGCAGGGGCAAAGCCAGGGCGATGCTAGAGAAACCTTTATGTGTGGTGGGACTTCGGCAGAATGCAAACAGCTCAAGCCCAGGGTCCAACTCTGAGCTCGTGCGGCCTGATGCTGGTCAAAGGAGGGAGGGAAGGAGGGCAGGGGCTAGGACAGAGGACCCGGTGTCTGTGAGCGAGAGTGAGTGAGCAAAAGAGCCAATGACCAGACCGGACATGTGTCTCCCCAAAGCACTTTAATGCCCACACCCACAGTCCCCGCCTGCTGCCTGGGCAAGAGAGGGCCAGCCCCGCCTGGAGTCCCCATGGCTCCCGTGCTCCCAGGGCCCAGCAGGCTCCGGGTCCCCATCAGTAGGTGAGGGGCGTCAGGATAAAGAGGCGGTCTTCTTCCTTGCGGATCCAGCGCATCAGCTTATGGATGGCGTCCACGGCGGACGCCTTGGTGCCCAGGGGGCTGTAGCACATGTAGAGCTCAAAGGCACCTGTCACCTGAAGGAGGGGCACAGGGTGACCATCCGGGTTAGACACGCCCTGCGGTCCCCGCCAGGACCCCGAAGCCCGGCCCGGCCCGGCCCAGCCGCCTTACCCAGGCCAGGAGGTTCTCGTTGGGGCCTGTGTAGTAGATGGTCTTGAGGGGGCGGGATGCATTGTGGGCTCGGCTGTGCAGGTACTGGTAGAGGCCCAGCAGCCGCTCCTGCTCCTCCTCACTGGTGTACGGGGCCTCCATTTCAGGGCTGGAGGTGGGGGCGTGGGTTCAAAGGCACCACTGTCATTGCCTGCTCTGCAGATCTAGAAACACCTACTCCTGGCCAGGGGCACGCCGCCATGTGTCTTACCCTCCGAATGCTCCCCCAGGACAAGGCACTGTCTCCCCACCGCAGAGGACGCCCCAGGAAGGGCTGGGCCCACCCAGACCAGAGGCCTGTTCTCCCTCCCGGTCATGGCATCTTCGCTGACCCTCCCTGAGAGGCCAGTCAGAGTTTAAGTGCCCAAGACGGAGGCACAGGTCTGCAGTGGAGGGAAGGCGAGCTGGGAACTCTCTGCACCGCGAAGGGGCGAAGGGGAGACAGCGCCCACCTGGCCTCAGCCCCTCTGCTGGCGGCGGGGAGGACCCCGCATCCTGGGCTGGACCAGGGACCCCTAAGGCAGTTCCTCCAGGACAAGGGCCCGAGGCTTCTGTTCCGGCTTCCTGCCCGGAGCATCGGGCGTTTCCTGGCCGCCCGGGGAATAGAGTAGAGAGGCGTGTGCCCGTGGAGAGGAGGGCGATAGGGAGTCAGAGTAAAACAGACCCAGGATGTCGGTCTGTGCCCAGAGGGTCGTCAGTTTCAGCGCTACCTCGGGGCTCAGGCCCCACCAGCCCGCTCCCAGCCCGCTCCCCAGCCCAGCTCCCGCAAGCAGCGCCCCCGGCCGCCCTCACCTGGTGAAGAGTCCGGAG